GGACGGGATTTGGCTTCTAAAGATATAATGCGAGAAGCCTGAGAAAAGGTTCTTATGAGGGGTTTGTTATAAGAATTTTATCTAGTTCAATGAGATTATTATTAACAAGCTAGTTTTCGGTTGAACCTCCCCTTCCCTCCCCTCCCATCCCCACCCATCCTGTTCTGCATGCAACAGTTTTGTACTTTCCTTTACAAGGTCCGGACAAGCGACAGTTGTACTTAGGGGAGCCGCATGCCTCAATACTCCCAGAATACAACAGCGATTTTCCAGCGCCTGTTGTTTTACCATCCGGGGTAGTGCCTGACGCGGGAGTGGTCCCCGCAGCGGGGGCCATTGCACCCGCTCCTCTCATAGCTCCTGCGCCTGTGATATTACCAGCTGATGCCATCAAGGAGAAGAACAAAGCGTACCCAGATGCTGAAGGTTGTCACTTTGTTTAACAAATTTTTTATCTGTTTCTTCGTAATCACCAGAAATTAGTTATGCGTTTTTACTTTCATCTTGTCAGAAAATTTCGTATTTTAGCCACAGAATCGTCACTTTTCTATTGAAAGAAAAACCAGTGTCCAATTGGCTCAGTTCGAATTCTTTCATTTAATCAAGGTATTCTTTTGCGCAAGACTTTAAATCTCATTTAAAGCATGTATTGATTTTGTGTCTAGGGAAGGCCAAACGTTTTCAGCTTCCCTTTTCAGCCTCAAACCAAGTGACTCAGTCTCAGTGGGCTGGTTCACCACCTCAAGATGCACTATCGTCACGGCCTTCATTGCCATTTTACGGAAATCAAATACCTCAGTCCCCCGAAGCAAGCATGTTTGGTCAGCAGATCCCGCTCACTTCTCCACCAACAGTTCCTATTGCTACAAACGAGATGTTTGATGATCCCACAAACCGGGATCAACTCAGCTCTACAAGTTTGTCATTTCTACAAGGGCAGTTTCAATCCCGGAATTCACGACCCGCTGGAGAAAAGGTAGAATACTTTGAGCCCAACGACAGCCAGGAAACATCGCCTTACTTAGATTCTAAGCAGTTCGCGGACAACGGCCCGACAAGGGAGGACTTGAAAACTATCCAGCCTCTCCTCGACAATGAAAATGACATCACGAATGCCATAATCAAAGATGCTTGGTCACAAGGTATGTTAAGCCCCAGTTTACCAAAGAGTGGCTAACGCTAATAAATAGATTAATCACTAGTATCTAACGGAGAAGTGTTCCCAAACCCAACAACGATATCCACAGCTGCGAATATGCACAAGGTCCAGGGCTTTAGGGGAGTCTAGTCTATCATAGTTAGTAGAGGACTAACTATGAGTCTATTGAACACCAGTTTGCGCTGCATGTTATTGTGTCTCACACTTTGAGATCATGTGGCATACTCCATATCATTACCTCACGCTTTGCGCTTCTCGGTTAACCTCTTCGGGGAGTTCAGCAAGTTAGGGCGCGCGCGTAAAAGCGGTGGAGCGAAATAAAGGAGAAAGAGGCTTGGTTAACCTCTTTTTTCGTGAGCCATAATTCGCGATGCATCCCAACTAACTGAACGCCTAGAAGAGGCTACGCTTCTGTTTAACGCTTTACGCTCAGGTCTCACGCTTTGCACTCTTGTCTAACGCTTTGCACTCGTGTCTCATGCTTTGCATTCATACCTCAAAGTTTATACTGTGTCTCACACTTGCGGTCGTGTCTCACAATTAGCTCCTACAATTTCCGTGAGTGACTTGCATTTTAGGCTCGCGTCTCGCACGTCTTACTCAGCCAAGAAGTCTCGTAAACAAGTCTGTCTGTCTGACGATTTTGTGAGCTACCTATTTTTAATTATTCTGATTTTACAACTTTGTTCGTTAAGTCTGTCTAACGCTTTAAAATACCTATTTGTAATTTCTCTAATTTAGGACTTTGTTGGTTAAGTAAAGAAAAAGTAGTAACGTAACTGAGATCTATTCAACAGATACCGCACTTACGTCGTCAAGACAAGCTGTCTCAGAGGGTCTGACCACTTCACACCAACTGGCTAATATCGAGTGGAAGAACAAACCAGTTTTTCAAGAAAAACCTTCCAAGCAATCCAATCCTAGCGATTTTGTACTAGACCAGGTGCACCCTGAAGTCTTGCACAAACAAGAATTATCGCCCCATCATAATTTGCAGGGACAAATATCAATGGTAGGTGAGGCAATTCAGCAGACCTATACTGCGACAACAAACAATAAAATTCCAACTGATAACTCATCTGCCGGGATCATGTTCCATCATCATTTGCAAGAAGACATGTCGATGGCAGATAAAAAAAACCACACCGCCAAGTCAGCAACAACAGACAGTAGAATTCCAACTGATAACTCATCTGCTATGATAAAAGACACATCGAAACTGCGTAATCACAGTGCAGTTACCCCATCATTTGTGGAAAACGATTCGATGAAGAACAATTCGTCCGATTTGCATTCTCACAATGAATGGTTTACGAATACCTCGTTAGACATGGGAAACAGTAGTATGGCTACTTCGCAGAAAAACCAATCATCACTAAAACCATACACTGCAGCGGATTATCTGCAAACTCTTTATCCTCAGTTATCAGTCTTCAAAGCACCATTTGAAATCGATGAAAAGAACCCATCCTCCGCGAAGGCTTCCCTGAAGTCATCCCCTGTTGCACTGCATTCGTCACCATTGCTCTCCAGTGATGGAACATTTAGCAAAAACTCTTCTTCACCTTTAATTAAACTGGCTCTTAAAGATGACAGAACGAATAAGCTCTCTCCAGAGATGCAACGTAAAGTTCAGAAGGCCCTCTTAATGTCTTTGGTAAAATCGTCTTCTAACCTTGGACAGAGGTCCGTAGTGAAGCAAAGTCTTAGCGCACCAAGATACATCTCGTCGGCGTCGAACTTGCTGCTGGCGAGATCGAAAAAAACAGGCAAGCAGGCACCGGGCTACAGATATTTAACAGAAGCTGGTGCCAAACTTCTCCCAGCGCATATTTTCTCACCGCTTGGGAGTGTGTTTAAGGACCCTTTAGGATCTTCGCACGCTCCTTTAAAAACGAGCTCTTCAACACCTGTCCCAACAACAGCCGGAACTCAACAGAAGGCAAAAACCGATCCCAGTATTGAACCAACGCAGATTGGATTAATCCAGCCACAGCCAAAAATTAATGAAGAAAAAGAACCCTCTAGCCCTCCTGCCATTGTTCCAACACAATCTGGTATGATTACAGCCGCCCCGACGACGGCGAATCCTTATGTTCCAACTCAATCAGGATTTATAGCAAGTCCGTCTGATCCAGCGGAGGCAATCGTGCCAACAAGAAAACCCTTTGTTCCAACTGAGTCAGGATTTATCCCCCTCAACACTAAAAGATATAGACACGGCGTGTGGCCAGAACATCACGAAGCAAGAAACAAACCAAAAACAGCTTTCGTTGAGCAAAGATTGTCCTCACATGAAACACAACTTACCTTCGATGATAGACAAGAACCCGGAACGCCTCATTTGCACGCGAAAGCAGGGCTAGAAAACGAAAATTACACGACGAAAGCTCGCGTTTTTAACAGCCGCATTGGAGATTCATATCCTGCTCATTCCAGACCACGAAGGCAAGTGTTTGTTCCATTACCACTTATGCAAGCAAATGACAATTCACAACAATTTGGTCAGTCATTTATTCCTCTCGCTGGTCAGCTTCCTGATCAATCACTTCTGTCCAACTTGCAACAGTTGCAGCAACCTGTTCAACAGTTTTTACCTACGCAGCCGCTGCAATCATTATTATCACAGTTTGTTCCAGCTCCTCAAGCGCTAGACCCCTTGCAGCTTTTCGGACAACCAGGTAAAATGGTTTTAGATTTTCTGTTTAAGAGTTATAAAGTAGAAGTGGAGCAAATTTATTTCTACAGGGCCGCATATATCACAGGAATATTTCAGAAGTCGAGAATCCAGTAATGCAAGAAGCTAATTAACTTACTGGCAATTTACAAAGCTTAAACAAGGAGTTGACTATCTACTGAGTTCAAATCCAGCTAAAGGCAGGATTCATGGAGAGCTTGAACACGAGACGTCTGGTTTACAAGACTGTTTCAGCTCCAAATCCTTTTTTGCAGAAAACCGTTCAAGTGTAAGTGTTCAAAACTAAACAAGTGTTCGGGGTGCCTTTTGGAAGACATACCTAGCCTTTTTCGTACTACCAATGACATACCCTTCATTCTTGAACCAGCAGAATAAAAGCAACTGAACTACAAAAGCGATTCGAGGCAATGCACTTAAACAAAATGCATACACTTTAAATGGAGCGCATTGAATTAATTTCAACAAATATTCCTTCAGGTTATTGAAATGACATTGTAAAGGTAAGGTACAACAGATGAATTGCATTATGAAATATTTTAATTTCACTTTAAAAAGTCATTAAAAAGTTTTTCTCTTGTAGATTCACGTTCTCAATTTCCACTGCAACAAACACTTAACAATCAGATCTCGCAGGGTCTACTCGCACCTCAGCAATTCCAGAATCCAGGAGGCACATTCGGTTTTGCGCCTCAACCCACCTTAGGTCAACTCAGCAAGACCTTGGGACTTACACCTCTTCAACACATTCCTCCACAAAGGCCTGGCTATCCTCAGAACGAGCCTCTGACTTCCATTGGTCAAACAGACTTATCCCCGGTAAGAGTAAATGTCCCCATGATGGCGCCTCAGAAGATACCCAGCTTTCTTGCTGCTAGTCAAGTGTACAGAGACTTCGAAGACGTCAATTCAAGGTCTCATCTGTCTGATGATATCATTGGGAACCAAAGTAGGTGTTAAAATGA